TTGACGGCGCTATATAAGTACCTAAAATAAATGGAAATCATGGAAGACGATCAACTGACCCAGGTGGAGGTGTAGATGGAGAGTAGGAGAGGTGCAATAACAGAACTTTGAGGGATCCAAACAGAAAAAGGAAGAGGAGAGGAAGAAGAATTGTAAGTGACAATGAATGTGCGGTGGGATAGGTAGGATGAGAAACCGCAAAGAGTACAGTCATGGAGACCAAAGGAGTGGAGTTTTTTGAGGATGATGGGGTGGTCCACTGTGTCAGACAGCAGAGAGGTCCAGGAGCAGGAGTACAGAATAGTGTCCATTAGTTTTAGCTGTTAGTAGATCATTTGTGAGCTTTAGGTGAGCAGTTTCCGTGGTGTGCATGTAGACAGGAAGTGGCAGAAAGAGACTGAAGGAAATCGGTAGCTGCTAGATATTTAAAACTATTTAAAAAAATAATGGTGAAGACAATAGTTTTGTACAGCTTAAAAAATCACGGCAATCATTTTGATATTCATTGCTTGAGCAATGTCAGCCAGTTAGGGTTTAGTTATAAATGACTTATAAAAATAACCATCCGGCCTGTTCTGTCACACGGGGAAGAAATTCCTTCATTTTGGAGTCGTCTGCCGAGCAAAATAATTGCAGCGAATTCTTTCCATTACATCTTAAATCAGTAGGACATGTGTTTAAATTCTTCCAGAGTATAAATGTTTCCTGGCAGATATGTCTGCTGTACAATTGGCTGCAGTATCCTCCTTGTAGAAATGTAGATAAACAGACCTCCATCTTTAAATATTATCATTCTAAAATGCAAATATTTCTCCACTCTATAAAATTTTATATTTTTCTAAACTACTTTTTTGGTGAGGAAGTTTAGTGAACCAAATTGTTAATCTGCAGAAGTCACAACTGAATCTTCAATATGTAAATGAGAAGACCGTAATTAGAAGATAAATACTGGGATGGTAACAAACAATGGGCAAAACACAAAAAAAAAAATGTTCAGTGTATGTGTGTGTTATGTATGTATATATGTGTGTATATATGTGTGTGTGTGTGTGTATATATATATATATATATATATGTGTGTGTGGTGTGTGTGTGTGTGTGTGTGTATATATATATATGTGTGTGTGTGTGTGTGTATATATATAATATATAGTATATATATATGTGTGTGTGGTGTGTGTGTTGTATATATATATATATATATATATATGTATATATATATGTGTGTGTGTATATATATATATATATATATGTGTGTGTGTGTGTGTGTATATATGTGTGTGTGTATATATATATATGTGTGGGGCACTGTGTATATATATATATATGTGTGTGTGTGTGTGTGTCATGTGTGTGTGTATATATAATATATAATATATATATATATGTATATGTGTATATGTATATATATATATATAGTATATATATATATATATATAATCTTGGTATATAAAATTCAGAGTGCACTTGACTGAAAACCAACGTTTTTGGAGATGCCTCACGTGTGTGGTTTGAACATCGCTTACATATGTGGGCGTGGCCTAAGTATGCGGTCACCACTGCACGGGAGCACTTTAAATTTTTTTTTTTTTTTTACACTGTTCCTTTTTAAAATATTTTTAATCACTTTTATTCCTATCCCAACAATCAAGGATTGCAGTAATGACAGGTCCTCTTTATGGAGAGATATGGAGTCAATAAGACCCCACATCTCTCCTCTGCAGTGTAAAGCGTTAGATCAAAAAAAGCATTGATCAGTGCTTTTAAAAAACAAAATGGCCGTGTTTACAAGGCATCGGAACCAGAAGTGACATCGCTCCGGTCCTGCAAGGGCATAGAGATGAGTGGAGGCCATCTTTTCTTCACTTATCTCTATGCTCAGCGCCGGGATCGTTCAATGGTTTCTCAGGTAAGGTTCATAACTATCGAACAGTGAGGGGCGGGTATCGGTGCTTTTTTTTTTGTTTTCATATCGGCCAAAGGCCGATAGGGGTGTTTTCAGCCGACACGTTTCGGGCATCGAAATTTCGGTTTATCCCTAATTTTTTTTTATGTATATCATTTTACAATTTTAAAGAGGTAAACGCTCAAGTTTTTTTTCACCATCATGCATTGTTTGCACAATGTGTGCAACCCCCCAAGTACTTACTTGAGTCCAGTCTCGATCTAGCAATGTGCAGGAGAGCCTTGGCTTTCCCGAGTCTCTCCCTCATTGGCTGAGACAGCAGTGGCCCCTGCTACTGTCAATCACAGCCAATGAGGAGAGAGGAGGTGGAGGGGGGGATCCACATCTGTGTGAATGGATGCACAGAGCAGCAGCTCAGGTGTGAGCCTGCTTGGGTGCCCCCATAGCAAGCAGCTTGCTATGGGGGTACTAGGCAGGAGGGAGGGGCTAGGAGCACCAGCAGGGGACCCGAGAAGAGCGGATCAGAACTGCTCTGTGCAAAACTACTGAACAGGGCAGGTAAGTATGACATGATTATTATTTCAAACAACAACAAAAAATTGCCTTTACAATCACTTTAATTCCTGGGATGAACTGTAAAAATATATTTGCTTACCTATACGTTAGCGACTGTTGTCACCTTCATAGTAGTCCCCTTGTGAAGCGACACACTTTTCTAGATGATTGCACCACCTCCAGAAACATTCCTGGAATTCATTTTCTGGAACGCTGCACGGTATTTTTGTCACGGCGCACTGGATGTCCGGAATGTCATCGACTCTGTGTCCTTTTTAAGGCGGCTTTTTTTTTTTTTTTAATTTTGGAAAAAGCCAAATGTGGCAGAAGTGCTAAGTCAGGGGAATAAGGTAATTGGTCAAATTTCAGAATGAATTTTTGGGCCAAAAACTCGCAAACATCTAAAACCACATGTGCAGGAGCATTGTCGTGGTGGAGAATCCACTTGTCAGGCCAGTGTTCCTGTCTTTTTTCCTCTGAACAGATTCCCATAACCTTTTCATTTTCCACATTTGCATCCGTCCTTTGCATTTTTGGTTTCCCATTTCTTGCAATATCTTTCCGCCCCTCCTATACCATTCAAAAACACTTGATTTCCTCATGGAATGTTCACCATAAGCTTGTTGTAACACAGCTAAAGTTCCACTCACACTTTTGACAATTTTCACTCAAAATTTGATGTTAATCCGCTGCTCCAGACTCCTCTCGTTCATTTTCCGCAAACAACGTAACCCATACGTGTTATTTTTTTTCCTACTCTGTAAAGACTGAGCTAACTGGTCTGTGACCCAGGAGAGTAGCGCACGTTGCCTGTATTTGGGAACAGCACTCACATGGATGATAAATGGGGAGCAGCAGCTGTGTCGGTGCAGCCACTGCTCCCCAACTGACATGAATGGCAGAGCTATGTCGTCCTTGTCTACGCAAGGATTCAGGAAATCACTGCTGGGGAGGAGCTTGTGTGTGCCCCACCTTCTCTGCTCCCACCCTCACTACCTTCCTGGCAATGCACTCTCTCTATAATTGCCCTACAGTGAGGTCGCAGGAGGTAAAATTGCCTAATTTTGTAAATAATGTGAAATATTTGTTTTTATTATTATACAGGATTTATGTAGCGCCAACGGTTTGCTCAGCACTGTACATTATAATGGGAGACAATTCAGCAACAATACAGTTCAATACAAGAGGGATTTGAGGGCCCCTGCCCCTTGGCGCTTACAATCTAGGAGGGAGGGGTGAATTGTACAGTAGGTAGTAACTGTGGGGGATGGACTGGTTGGAAGAGTAGAGGATTCCAGAATTTGCAAAGGGCGGGATAGGCTTCCCTGAAGAGATAGGTTTTCAGTGATCGTCTAAAGGCAAGTAGAGTAGGTGAAAGTCTGATAGATTGGGGTAGGGAGTTCCAGAGGATGGGTGACGCCCTGGCGAAGTCTTGGAGACGAGCATGGGAGGAGGAGATAAGGGAGCTAGAGAGTAGGAGGTCTTGCGAGGAGCGGAGAGTACGGTTAGGGTGATATTTAGAGATATGATCGGTTATGTAAGTTGGGACAGTGTTGTGGATTGCTTTATATGTCATTGTCAGTGTTTTGAATTTCATCCATTGGGCAACTGGGAGGGATTGGCAATGGAGGCCAGTGGAGGGATTGGCAGAGAGGGATGGTGGAGGCCAGTGGAGGGATTGGCAGAGAGGGATGGAGGACACTGGGTGGAGGTCACAGTGGAGGGATTGGCAGAGAGGGGGACACTGAGTGGAGGACACTGGGTGGAATGGAGGGATTGGCAGAGAGGGGGGATGGAGGACACTGGGTGGAGGTCAGTGGAGGGAGAGGGGTGGAGGGATTGGCAGAGGGATGGAGGACACTGGGTGGAGGACACACTGAGTGGAGGCCAGTGGAGGGATTGGCAGAGAGGGGTGGAGGACACTGGTGGAGGGATTGGCACACTGGGTGGAGGTCAGTGGAGGGATTGGCAGAGAGGGGGGTGGAGGACCAGTGGAGGGATTGGCAGAGGGGATTGGACACTGAGGTCAGTGGAGGGATGGAGAGAGGGGTGGAGGCCATTGGAGGGACTGGCAGAGAGGGATGGAGGAAACTGAATGGAGGCCAGTGGAGGGATTGGCAGAGAGGGGTGAAGGACACTGAGTGGAGGGGGCAGAGAGGGTGTGAAGGACACTGAGTGGAGGTATTGGCAGAGAGGGGTGGTAGATACAGAACGGTTAGTAAGGTGGATAAGTCTGGCAGCAGTGTTCATGATAGACTGGAGGGGGGATAGCCTGTGATGAGGTCAGCCAATGAGGAGGGAGTTACAGTAGTCAAGGCGTGATATGACAAAGGAGTGAATAAGTTGAATGAGTGGTTTCCGGGGTTAGGAACGGGCGTGTCTTGGAGATGTTATGCGTCTTTATATAAAATAGCCATCATTGGCCTAATGTGTTTCTTTTTTTTTTTTTTTTCTTTTTCTCCCTCCTCCAGGAGAGAAGCCCCACCAATGCAGCATCTGCTGGCGCTCCTTCTCCTTAAGGGATTATCTCCTCAAACACATGGTGACCCACACCGGCGTCCGTGCGTTCCAGTGCTCGATCTGCTGCAAGCGATTCACCCAGAAGAGCTCGCTCAACGTCCACATGCGCACCCACCGCCCCGAACGCTTCCAGTGCTGCTTCTGCAATAAGTACTTTTCTCACCGCACCCTCCTGGAGAGGCACATCGCCACACACACCGCCTGATCGGTCAACCCTCTTAACAACTGACACTCGCCACAGTAGGCCAGCCGCTCCTCGGCCCGGCTACAGATGTTTGGAGAGGCATGGGACTTGGCGCCATCTGCCTCGCCCTTGTGATCTATATCCCCAAAGACTTACTATTGATGTTTATCAATATATTTGTTACATAACACAGCACTTATCTTATGGTATCCAAAGGTGGATTAATCATGGGAGGAAGGGAATGAAAAGAACTCTAATTACGGCTTCATTCTCTCTGCCTTTTCTATATTAAGGACGAGGATTTTCTACACTACTCGGCATGCAGGCACTTTTAATATGCATGCCCTGGGACTGTCCGGTGGATCCTCTTTCTAGTAGTGGATCCCTAGAGACCAGCATTGTCCAGAGCGGAGATTATGTTCCCTGGTGGAACACTATTATATATATTTTTTTTTTTGTTTAAATTTCATATCCGTAGGGACCCAGCAGTATTTTGATCTATCATCTGCTTTTATAGCAGAGCTTCGCCGATTTGATTGGTTGGTGTGCAATTGGGTGAGGCGAGTCTGCTGTATTCATACAGCAGCAGAGACCCTTCACTCTCCAACGCTTTCTCCATGAGAAAAAGAGTCACGTCTGCGAAAGCCTGTTAGGAAGTATGGATATTTAAGTTCAAAGATTGGAGGACAATGAAACCTGGAGCCCCATAGTAAAGGACCCGTGACCAGCAAAACAATGGCAAAGGTGCAAGTTGTACTTGCATAGCAAACTTGTGAAGGAAAAAAACAAAAAAAAAAAAAAAAAACTTGAGTTGCTCATTGCAACAGATCACATTCTTCTTTTTCATTCTCGTGCACTCAGCATCTATATGGTTGGACAACGCAAATAGCTCTTTTTATAACGTCTGGTGTAGTAGAGACATCTTTCATCGTGTGCTTTCACAAATCATTATTTTCAGTAACCTAGCTTGGCGATTTAGGTGCACCAGTTCTTGAACTGTTTTTTTAGGAGGAGCGGTAAATCCAAAGTGCAAGTTGGCCTATTTATAAGAACTATTATTATGTACGATGCATTTCCGGTCAGCTTCACGTAGCCAGAGAAACAGAAGGCAATAGCTCAGCACTGCCCTGGACCATGTTTGGTCCTGCTAGGTCATTACAAGGGTGGCAATGGCTCCACGGCACTGAAGCTGCCCGACATTTAGCTCTTTCCATAGTGCCTCACTGAGAACATCGATTTATTCTCGCAATTCTTCCCTCCGACGAGAGCTTACAAATAATGCCCTGGCTGCAGTCGCACAACCGCACACTGAAGCCACTTTAGGCAAGAGTTGGGGAACCCTTTGCAAAGATTAGAAGAATATGGAGAAATCCTTTAACTTAAAGATTCCATGGTGGGAATTCATTTTGAGACTGCCATTCTGCATTGGATTTTGTCATAAATCGCTGTGTTGACCACATTGTTGCACACTATTAATAGTTTCTTGATGTAAGCCGACATGTGCAGTGGGTTTACTGGCCGTTCACAGAACGCAACCAAGGCATTTATGTGGAGGGGCATAGGGGGAACCAAGGGAAGTTAAAGGTGAACCCCAGGTAAACTGATGAACATGCACACTGCAGATTACACTACATCTAAGCAATGCAGAGTGGTCCTTGACACAGCCCAGCCTCTGATAGGACAGCAAAGAAGCTGTAGCACATTCAGAATGTCTCTTCTTTATATACATTCTCTTAATGTAGGGCAGTGGTCTCCAAAGTACAGCCTGCGGGACAGATGCAGCCCTCTGCTTGCATATATCCGGCCCATGGGGCACTATTCCTCCCACTGATACCAATGATGGCACACTTTTCCTCCCACTGATACCAATGATGGGGCACTATTCCTCCCACTTACACCAATGATGGCACACTTTTCCTCCCACTTACACCAATGATGGGTACTATTCCTTCCACTGACACCAATGATGGGGTACTTTCCTCCACTGGCACCAATGATGGGGCACTTTTCCTCCCACTGGCACCAATGATGGGGCACTATTTCCTCCCACTGGCACCAATGATGGGGCACTTTTCCTCCCACTGGCACCAATGATGGGGCACTTCCTCTCACTGGCACCAATGATGGGGCACTTTTCCTCCCACTGGCACCAATGATGGGGCACTTTTCCTCCCAATGGCACCAATGATGGGGCACTATTCCTCCCACTGGCACCAATGATGGGGCACTTGACCTCCCACTGGCACCAATGATGGGGCACTTTACCTCCCACTGACACCCAAGGATGAGACACTATTTTTGCCACTGACACCAGCACTTGGAAAGTTTGGAGATCCCTGTTGTAGAGCAAGGCAGCAAAGTCCTAACTGGCTCCTAGAGCTGTGACAAAGATGTCACAGGCCCCCCCATTTGATATTGGGGGGGGTCACATGCTTCTACATACCCAGAAGCCCCGATCTGACGGTGCTGGGAAGGTGGCAAGGGAGTATAGCTCACTAAATGCCTGGGCATGTGGACTATCTGCCGAATGCTATTTGCCCTAAAAGGGATAATGTTTCTTTAATCTTCACCTTTAAAAATTATGTTTTATATCTGCATCTGTCAGTCGCAGATAAAGTATCCACATCATTATCCTTGGGGCTCTTTCAAACCAGTGGTAATGCTTACTGTGGTGGATTGCTTTTCAGAGTGCGGTAAAGCAATGGCGGGCAGGCAGACACCAGTTTCTGTTGACAGACAGCAGTTTTACATTGCGGGGCCACAAAGCAACTGTGAGCCAAACGTTTGGCCTACGGTTGCGGCGCAGCCCCATTGATCTCAATGCGAAAGTTTGACCAGGTGTGCTGCCTGTTAAATTCTGCAAAATTGCAGCAGCTGTGAAGCAAAGTGCCACAACATGTACAGCCCTGTGAGACTGTAGCGTTGAGTTCTGGGGTGGGGATAAAACTGCTTTTACCCCCCCCCCTCCTCCAACCACTGATATGGAAGCACCCCTCATTTGTCTGCTGCAACCATTGCTGCATCAGCTATTGGTTTTTGGGTTCCCCAATTTATTCTCTGCAACACTGGAGACACACCCGAACTTTTGTTGGGTCGAATCAGAGACCCAAACTACGATGCTGACATCTCCGAAAGATGTGCACATATGGTGGAAGATTTTAACTCACTAGAATCTAACGAATATTGGAATATCCATTTGGATGAAAAGACCTTCAAATGGAAAAAAGCAAACGTGCCGAAGTCCTGCTTTAGATTAGGCAATGGCAACATACACAACCCCAAAAATACAAAAACTATTATTATTATTATACAGTATTTATATAGCACCAAAAAGTTTGCTCAGCGCTGTACAATATAGTGGGGACAGTACATGAGACAATACAGTACAATACAATACACGAGGGGTTCAAGGGCCCTGCTCTTTCGAGCTTACAATCTAGGAGGGAGGGGAGGAAGTGGCTGTGGGGGATGGAGTGGAGAAGATCGGCTGTTAGGTGAGGGCGAGATAGGCTTCCCTGAAGAGATGGGTTTTCAGGGTGTGCCTAAAGGTGAGGAGGGTGCGGTGAATTGGGGTAGTGAGTTCCAGAGGATGGGGGAAGTCCTGGAGAAGTCCTGCAGTCGGGCGTGGGAGGAGGAGACCGGGTAGCTAGAAAGTAGGAGGTCTTGTGAGGAGCGAAAAGTACAGGTTGGGTGGTATTTGGGTATCAGGTCAGTAAGGTAGTTTGGGGCAGCGTTATGAATGAAAACTAAAGAGAATTTCATTGTGTCAAGCTTGTGAGCTTTGATTGAAAGTACGACAGGTCCACTTTAACATCCCTTCGCTCCCATCAGCCCCTCCACATAAAACCTTTTTGCAGGAGTTCCGTAATCATCCGAGTACGTGGAAGGAAATGAGATCCAGCCGGTCCACAATTCACAATAATACACAAGGTCACCGACCAGACTACGGCAAGCCTCCTCGCTGTTGATGTGTGTGAGTCGGAAATCTTCTCTTGCAATGTGTAAATAGCCTATTTAACCAGCATATCTAATATGTTTGTATTTATGAACCTGTGTGTGACTTCTCGGCGGTGTGTGTATAAAATTGTGTTTCTCGTCGTTACTGATACCGTCGCGCTTCCAAAGAAGCCGCTTCTCAATGTATTTATAGACGCAAAGTTTGATGTTGGTCACATATACGCATGTTTTACGTGTGCTGTTGCGTGAAAGGATTTTTTTTTTTTTTTTCCCCCGTTTTTTTTTTTTTTTTGTAACATGTTGAGCGACGCAAAAAAAGAGCATTTTATTTTCTGATCCTAACAAGTCGACAAACAAAATTCTAAGCTTGTATTCCAGGATTACTTGCTATTGCTTCTTTCTGTAGCTTTGAATAATGTAAGGAACTCATTTGGGATCTGTTTATTGGCACGAGTGGCCTTTGAAACCCAACTGGTCACAAAAAAAAAAAAAAACTTGCAGTGGACTGCCGCTGATCATTGCGACTTTATGTGCGGCTTGACGTCATCTGTGTGACTTTGTGCACAGATGTCAATGCAAGTCACAGCTGAAATTGCAAATAATAATGCAGGAACCTTTTTCAAAGTCGGTGCAAATTGGGGTTGCACCAATTTTGAATGGTTCCATAGCCAGCATTAGGGTGCAACTTGTCAAACAACTTTGATCTGCCGAGTCCCCGTCGGTGTGAACCAGGGCTTAAGAAGGAACTCCTCAGCAATATTTGCATTTATACTGATCACCTAGAGATTTCAAAAAGCCTTACTGTGAAGGGTAAACACTCTTCATGAAGATGTCTCGCAACTTATCCAAGCTGCTGCTTCTTTTGGAAAGAGTATTGGGGACATACCCCAGCATTTGTACCTTAAAGGGTCACCCTATTCCAGTCCCCATGGAACATGCCTAGGCAGAAGTTGACTGCCCAGTAACTGGATGGGAGGTGTAGTAAGTTGTGGAATCATCTTGTTCTAATTGCATATCTTAATGTCCGGAAGTCTGTAAAAAGATGGAATGATGTAACTAGAAGAGGGTGCTTCCACAAATTTTTTTTTTTTTACACCTTCCATGCTGTTCTTGGGCAATCGGCATCTGCATTGACATGTTCCATGGTGATTGGGTTAGGAGTTACCTGTGTGGATAGAAAGGTTGGGTTATGTTCAGCATCTGCATTGACATGTTCCATGGTGATTGGGTTAGGAGTTACCTGTATGGATAGAAAGGTTGGGTTATGTTATTCAGCATCTGCATTGACATGTTCCATGGTGATTGGGTTAGGAGTTACCTGTATGGATAGAAAGGTTGGGTTATGTTCAGCATCTGCATTGACATGTTCCATGGTGATTGGGTTAGGAGTTACCTGTATGGATAGAAAGGTTGGGTTATGTTCAGCATCTGCATTGACCATGTTCCATGGTGATTGGGTTAGGAGTTACCTGTATGGATAGAAAGGTTGGGTTATGTTCAGCATCTGCATTGACATGTTCCATGGTGATTGGGTTAGGAGTTACCTGTATGGATAGAAAGGTTGGGTTATGTTCAGCATCTGCATTGACATGTTCCATGGTGATTGGGTTAGGAGTTACCTGTGTGGATAGAAAGGTTGGGTTATGTTCAGCATCTGCATTGACATGTTCCATGGTGATTGGGTTAGGAGTTACTGTGTGGATAGAAAGGTTGGGTTATGTTCAGCATCTGCATTGACATGTTCCATGGTGATTGGGTTAGGAGTTACCTGTGTGGATATAGAAAGGTTGGGTTATGTTCAGCATCTGCATTGACATGTTCCATGGTGATTGGGTTAGGAGTTAACTGTGTGGATATAAAGGTTGGGTTATGTTCAGCATCTGCATTGACATGTTCCATGGTGATTGGGTTAAGAGTTACCTGTGTGGATAGAAAGGTTGGGTTATGTTCAGCATCTGCATTGACATGTTCCATGGTGATTGGGTTAGGAGTTACCTGTGTGGATAGAAAGGTTGGGTTATGTTCAGCATCTGCATTGACATGTTCCATGGTGATTGGGTTAGGAGTTACCTGTGTGGATAGAAAGGTTGGGTTATGTTCAGCATCTGCATTGACATGTTCCATGGTGATTGGGTTAGGAGTTACCTGTGTGGATAGAAAGGTTGGGTTATGTTCCTGACACTCATCAAAACTTAAACAGAAGCTACAAATGAAAAATGCAATAAAAACATCCTCATGCTCCTTAACAGCTTTTTTTAAATTTTAGATATTGTCAATATTTTACATGACGTGCCAAATCTCTAGTTTGCTTGCCCCCGTGATCAAATGCTGGCAGCGGACATCTTATTTGAGGGCATCTGAAGCTGGCGCCAGTGAGATCCGGGATGTAGTGCAGCTGGTTTACCCAGCATGCACTTCCCGATCTTGCGCATGTGCAAGAGTGACCATGCCCGGCGTACAGCGTTTTCATCAAGTTGCTATAGTAACGGCGGAGGTTCCGCCCCGTTATAGCAACCTGTTCACAACAAAGGACCCTGAAGGAGCAAAGGCAAATACCCGAAGACTCCTGGGATAGATGGCGCCGATATCCCAGGAGTCCTTGGGAATTGCCTAATGATGTAATCCCCTAGGCGGCCGGGATAGGACATTTAAACAAATGTATTTATAAATGATTAAAAAACTGATCATATCCATTTTGCACTGCACTGGCGATGGGCATTATTATAAGAGGAAGTTCAAAAAGTGGATGAAGCTCCTCTTTCAGCTGCTCGGAGAAGCTTCAAAACATCTTGAACTTACAGAACCAGTCCAGTTGAATGTGACCAACTACTACTCGCTATACCATCTCCTGAATAAATGAGAAAACTTCATTTGTTTTTGAGCTGAAATCCATACTGCGTGTTGCCTCCCTGCTCCTTTTCTGTGTCTCCTACCTGATTGGATCTGAACTAAAATGGGGGGTTCCATATAATGGAAGGTGACTTTCCCCTGTTGTGTATTTTTCAGGGTGACCTACACAGAGCTGTATGTTTACTGTCTGTGCTCCATTCCTGGGGAAGAAAGTAGAATGATGATTGGCTTCTATTTGTTGACTTCAGCAGCCCCTTTGTTCCATCCATTGTCCAGTTGTGTTTCACTGGAGTTGTTCTTTAGAATGTGCATGGTGATAGGAAGAACGCATGCCCTGATCTTGGCGGGATCAGGCAACGTCGCAGCTCTGGGCAGTAAATCCTGGTGGGTATCAACCTGTCCAGGGGACGAATGGGATTATTTTAGCTAGTAGACCTTGAGGTCCCACTGTAAGGGCTGCCCTGATCTTGGCGGGATCAGGCAACGTCGCAGCTCTGGGCAGTAAATCCTGGTGGGTATCAACCTGTCCAGGGGACGAATGGGGTTATTTTAGCTAGTCGACCTTGAGGTCCCACTGTAAGGGCTGGCTCACATCACGCTGTGCGATTCATCCTGCATACAAAACGCACTCCATTTGCGATCTGTAACGGCCGTCAATAAAAAGTTGACACCCCAAAGGGAGGGCGGTTGCCCACACTGGATCACATGGTACTTCTGTACCATGTGATGATCTGCTTGCAGTGGATTTTAAAAAGTAGTTCACGGTCTACGGTGTGGTGCAATTTTGGCCTGTACAAAATGAAGGCTTGAAATCCCGCTGCGCAGAGCCGTATGAGAATTGCACAGGAACGCGCAACGTGTTCTTGTGCGGTTAATGGTGTGACCCGGCCCTCAAGGTTGTTGGGAGCGCACGGGGCCATGCTGGTTGTACACAGGACACTAATTCTGTATGCCTGTTGTAAAACCAAGCTTCGTGTAGCAAGGATATGCAAAGTGCTGTAACCTGTGGTAACCAATTATTGCACTTATCACTGCCTTGAATAAACCTGTGTATAGCACAGGGGCGGACTGACAACTCATGGGGCCCCTGGGCAATAGGGGATCATGGGGCCCCTGTGTCCTTGCCCAAACAAAAAAAAGCCTATGAAAAAGGTACCAGGGGCATCTCATGGGGCCCCCTACTGACCCCGGGCCCTCGGGCTGTGCCCGAGTTTCCAAATGGTCAGTCCGCCCCTGGTATAGCATATGTAGATTTTTATGTCCAACCATCATGTTTAGGCCTACAAGCCAGTGTAGAAGTGGCTCCATCATCTTCCCAACGCTGCTAGTGGCAGTGGTGTGACCTCCTGTCCTCTTGGTATGCCAGAAATGGCTACAGGGGAGAGTCTAGAACACGGATGTCAAACTGGCGGCTCTCCAGCTGTTGCCAAACTACAAGTCCTATGAGGCATTGCAAGATTGACAGTTACAAGAGTGACTCCCAAAGGCAGAGGCATGAGGGGACTTGTAGTTTGGCAACAGCTGGAGGGCCGCCAGTTCGACACCTCAGGTCTAGAATCTAGAAAGTTGAAGTGGCTGATTTGTATACTGGCGTTATCAGTAAATGAAGCTATTAGTTCTCTAGTGGCTACAAACACCATTTTGTGCCTCCTTTGCAAATTTTCAGCTTAATGTGGTTTTAAAGCCTTAAGGTTTTTCACCTTAAAGCGATACTAAGGGTTTGCTTTTTGGAAGGGGGGGGGGGGTAACAAACATGTCTATACGTAGCTGCTGTGTGAAGTGGTTTTGCACAGAGCAGCCTGGATCCTCTACTTGGGTCCCCCGCAGGCTCTCCTGGCTCCTCTTTTCTGTCTGGTGCCCCCACAGCAAACAGCCTGCTATGGGGGCACCTGAGCAGGCAAGTTCTTGAAGCCACTGCCCATTCACACACATAGCCTCGGCCTTACCCCACTCCACTCTCTCCTCATTGGCTGAGTGGCTGTGATTGACAGCAGCGGGAGCCATTGCTGTCTCAGCCAATGAGGAGGCAGGGACCTGGGACAGCCGAGGCTGTTGTGCACATCAGTGGATTGCAATGGGGCTCAGGTAAATAATGAGGGGGCTGGGGGCACTGCTACACAAAGAAGGTTTTTTATCTTCATGCATGAAAGTTAAAAAACCTTAAGCCTTTCCAACCACTTTAATGCATTAGGGAGAAAACCCTTCTGTTCTGGAGCCCCCCACCTTTTTATTACCTGAGCCCAATCTGGTCCAATTATGTGTTTGAGAGCAGCGGCTATAGCCGCTCTCTCCCTCCTCATTGGGCAGATTGATAGCAGTGGGAGCTATTGCTGTGACACGGGAGTAGGGGGGCGGGCAGAGCTGCACGCTCTGTGTCAATGGACGCAAAAAAAAGCACTCAGGTGCGAGCCCGCACGGGTGCCCCCATGGAAAGCCGCTGTCCATGGTGACACCTGCTGAAGAGCCGCAGCCAGGAGTGCCGGTGGCAGAGCCCAGAAGAGGAGGATTGGGCTGCTCTGTGCAAAGGCACTACACAGAGCAGGTAAGTATAGACGTGTGTTGTTTTAATTTTTTTTAAAAAACACGAAGGTTTCATATCACTTAAAGGCCTCATGCCCATTGGATGGTCTCTCCTAGACACCTTTCCTCCTTGCAGTGGTGTTTTTGAAAGAAAAAAAGCCCTTGACACTTGTAAGTGCGTGTAACTCCTTTAGTTGCCTCAAGCACTTGGGCAGTAATTCACTTCATGGGCCAAAATAATGTATTCTGGCCATTAAAATGAATTAATGCGCAAGTGCTAAAGCGCCTATAACCAAGGCATTTTTAGACGTTATCACGCAATTACTGGCATCAAGTGCTCTTCTTTTGCCAAAGCGCAGTTGGTTCTGGACACACTAGCAGTGGGGTTTTTTCTGCCTCTAACCTCCTTTACACCGTGTTCCAAATTATTATGCAAATGAAATTTTTCTCATTTCCCTAAATAATTGATGTAAATAACAGTCGGCATAATTCTCATGTTATCAACTATAAGAGTACAATTCACATTTTATTGAACAAACCTCCTAATAACAGGATTTTTGTTCCAAATTATTACGCACAGTAAGTTTCAAAAGTAAAGAACTGAAAATTGTCATTTGTTGTGTTTGCAGCATATTTACTGAAATCAAAAGCTATTTCAATCAAACTTTTAACAACATTTTAACTTTTTAAACATTTTAACAGGTCACGTTACATTGTAACATAGGACCCCTTATTTGATAGCAGCTTCACAAGTCTTGCATCCATTGAACTTGTGAGTTTTTGGACAGTTTCTGCTTGAATTTGTTTGCAAGATGTCAGAATAGCCTCCCAGAGCTGCTGTTTGGATGTAAACTGCCTCCCACCCTCATAGATCTTTTGCTTGAGGATGCTCCAAAGGTTCTCAATAGGATTGAGGTCAGGGGAGGATGGAGGCCACACCATGACTTTCTCTCTCCTTTTATCCCCATAGCAGCCATTGATGCAGAGGTATTGTTTGCAGCATGAGATGGTGCATTGTCATGCATGAAGATGATTTTATTACGGAAAGCATAGTTCTTCCTTCTGTACCAGGGAAGAAAGTGGTCAGTCATAAACTCCACATACTTTGCAGAGGTCATCTTTACACCTTCGGGGCCCCTAAAGGGTCTGACCAGCTCTGTTCCCATGATTCTGGCTCAAAACATGACTCCCCCACCGCCTTGCTGACGTCGCAGCCTTGATGGAACAGGGTGGCCGTCCACCATCCATCCACTACTCCATCCATCTGGACCATCCAGGGTTGCACGGCACTCATCAGTGAACAGGACTGTTTGAAAATTAGTCTTCATGTATTTTTCTGCCCAATGCAGCCGTTTCTGCTTGTGAGCATTGGTTAGTGGTGGCCGAATAGAAGGTTTATGCACAGTTGAAAGACTCTGGAGGACTCTACACCTTGATGTCCGTGGGACTCCAGAGGCACCAGCAGCTTCAAATATCTGTTTGCTGCTATGTAATTGGATTTTAGCAGCTGCTCTCTTGATCCGATGCATGGATCCGGCGGAAATCTTCCTCAATGTGCCTTTATCTGCACCAACCCGTCTGTGCTCTGAATCAGCCACAAATCTCTTAATAGTGCGATGATCACGCTTACGTTTTCGTGAAATATCGAATGTTTTTATACCTCGTCCAAGGCATCGAACTATTTCACTCTTTTCGACAGCAGAGAGATCCTTTTTCTTCCCCATATTGCTTGAAAATGGTGCTCTGCTTAATAATGTGGAACACCCTCCTTTAGTAGTTTTTCCTTAAATTGGGCTCCCCGGCCAATCTAATTATCACAGGTGTCCGAGATTGTTTTCAGTGATCAAAAGAGCCCTGACACACAATGCCATCCATGAGTTACACTGAAAAACAAAATATTTCATCTTTGTGACACTTAAATAGAATTTGCATAATAATTTGGAACGCGGTGTATATGCATGGACACATAGACTAACATGAAGGGACAAAAACCGTCAGATGCCCCTAAGAGCAAAAAACATCCAGTGTGCACGAGGCCAGGAGGCCAAGTCCACCTTTTCAAAAAAAATGCACATATATTTGCAGGAAAAAAAATGCATGAACTATTTTTTTTGCAAAGCATTGCAACCGTGTTGGATGGTGGGTGCAATGCCAGACTCCTGCAGACTTTCTCCAGCTCTCTGTACCAAGGTAGAAACTTTTATTTGGAGAGGTGGAGGAATACAAGTGTGAAGATCCGTTAAGAACTACAAGTCTGTCTGTCGTGGTGGCAGATGGGACTTGTAGTTGTTTTATTCACAGATCTGAATGGATGAATGACGCGGCTGTGTGTGGACAGAAGCATGGACCCAAATAGGAAATATGAAATTGTAAAAACAAAAGGCAGATGGGACTTGTAGTTCTTTCATTCACAGATCTCTGTAAATGAATGACGCAGCTTTGTGGACAGATGCATGGACCCAAATAGGAAATCTGAAATTGTAAAAACAAAAGGCAGATAGGACTTATATAGTTCTTTCATTCACAGATCTCTGGTAATGAATGATACAGATGTGTGGACAGAAACATGAACCCAAACAGGAAATAGAAAATTGTAAAAAAACAAAAGGCAGACGGGACTTGTGGTTCTTTCATTCACAGATCTCTGGTAATGAATGATGCAGATGTGTGGACAGAAGCATGGACCCAAATAGGAAATATGAAATTGTAAAAACAAAAGGAAGATGGGACTTGTAGTTCTTTCATTCACAGATCTCTGTGAATGAATGACGCAGCTGTGTGGACAGAAGCATGGACCCAAATAGGAAATATAAAACTGTAACAACAAAAGGCAGATGGGACTTGTAGTTCTTTCATTCACAGATCTGAATTAATGAAGCAGCTGTGTGGACAGAAGCATGGACCCAAATAGGAAATTGTAAAAACAAAATGCTGATGGGGACTTGTAGTGCTTTCATTCACAGATCTCTGAATGAATGAATGACGCAGCTGTGTGGACAGAAGCATGGACCCAAATAGGAAATATGAAATTGTAAAAACAAAATGCTGATGGGACTTGTAGTTCTTTCATTCACAGATCTCTGAATGAATGAATGACGCAGCTGTGTGGACAGAAGCATGGACCCAAATAGGAAATATGAAATTGTAAAAACAAAAATGCTGATGGGACTTGTAGTTCTTTCATTCACAGATCTCTGAATGAATGAATGACGCAGCTGTGTGGACAGAAGCATGGACCCAAATAGGAAATATGAAATTGTAAAAACAAAAGGTAGAGTTAGCCTTTAAAACATGGCTGCCTGTGTAGAAATGATAGGTGGTGCCCATTGTTTGCACTGGTGTGTGATGTGTTGCCATTTGTACCTTTTCTCCCTTTTTACAAGAAAATGCCAACTTTTTCTTTTTCTTTTTTTTTTTCCTAAATTTGCAATTCTAAACCAAAGTTCTGATGACCATTGGCTTAATGCACTGCACTGCATTTTGCAGGATTTCCTGTGACATCACATCCTGTGGATCACAAAGCAAAGTTTTTTTTTGTTTTTTTTTTTTCTTGCTGCGTTGACGTGCATTTTACATGCATCGACCTGCGTTGCGATGTGTTAAAGTGCATACACGTTGCATTTTAACACAAC